TCTGAAGCTCATTTCCAGATGTCCACTTTCATTGTTCCTTCCTGGAGACAGGAGCTTGCATTTGAAGTCATTCAATAGTCCCTACAGCAGTGACTCAGAGCCCCACCCTAACTCAGTACCCATACCAGGAGCAAAGCTGAAATGCCATATATGGTGTCTTACTCAATGAACATTTTGGACCATAGTAGCCTCCTTCTCTCAACTCTCAGATCCTAGGTTCATGCCCATCCCCACAGCCTCTCTCCCCCAAGTCTTCCAAAATTTCTGGCCTACCTAGTGAGATACCTTCTTGTTTTATCATTCATCAGAGATTCATTTTCTCATTTTCTGTAATTTTCAAGGACTTGGAGTAAGGATTTGGGACAGGTGGTGAAGATGGAGCGTGCTATATTGATTAAAATTTTAATAGTCATTAATTTGCAGATTCTGCTGTGTCATGGACATACTGGTGACAAAATATATCTTCAAAAGATAATTAAATAGTACAAACATACAAGACTACAAGGCATATAAAAATTACATTTTGTAACAATGTGTCATTCTACCAAGCTCTTTCCCACCTACAGACAGTCTTAGCTAGGTGAGACACTGTAGCTGTTAATTAAATGATGTGTCTATAAGGTTCAGGTAAAGTTCAGAAAGACACACATAAATTATCAGTGTATCTATTGGAGCATCTCCCCCTGAAGTAACAGATGTGTCTTCTTTAGAAACAAACAAACAAAACTAAAGCTTTAACATTCTCCTAAAAGAAAATGCCCATCAGTGCTGGGACAGACCAGTGACGCGCAAGCACATGCTCACAGCCTTGTGATAGGAGATCAAATGCTCAGATTCTAATAGTAGGAAAACATGAGAAACCGTTTCCAAAAGCACTGCCACAGTGACTGGCATTTTCTTTCCACCCTGGCCCTGTATACAAAAATAATTCTAATGTACTATTTATTAGGGTAGTATATTCTTTTACTCTCTAGTTCTTATGGAAGGAAAACAGGTAAAATGTATGAATGTATATCTATATTAATATTTAATTAGGATTTTTTCCAAGTTCTCAGAATACAATCCATTCAACTGGTCACTCTGTGACATGGAGGACTTACCATCTGCCTGCTACCTCTAGAAGGTGACCGTCTAATGGCAAATTGTGTTTCTGGATGGTAGTGGTTTACCGGAAGACTGAGACAAACAAACAATAAACTTGCAGACAAGCGACATAACCTAATGCTTTTCTCTGTCACTTCTCACGCTACATATAAATGCTCCACACATCAATTTGACTTTGTTAAAAGTTTTTCTCCCCTGAAGCTCTGATAAAAATAATTATATCAGCATTCTTTGATAGACCAATAAAACCACATCTGGCAAGTTCATTAAACCAGTATTTTCACTCCAGATATAGAAAAGCCTGGGTTCTCTTCCCATGATCCTTTCAGACTTCAAAACTTAATGTCAACCTCATAAGTCTCCTTTTAGCTTTTTTGTTTGTGATGATGATGTTTTGGTTTTAGCCAAAAACTCTTACAACATTAGTATTTTATTAGATTGAAATGCTTGATCTGTAATCATATGTGTATATATATATATATTTCAGCTTTGTTTCTGGATTATTACATGTTCTAATGTAGGTTTGGTATCTTTTAATATAAAGTCAATTTCTGTTCTATTATTTTTCATTTATTTCCGTTGCTGTGATTAAAATATCTTGACCAAAGCAACTTAGGGGAGAGAAAGTTTATCTGGTTTACAACTCTAGGTTACAGACCACCATTAAAGGGAGTTAAGGCAGAACTCAAACAGCTAGTCATATTACTCCACAGTTAAGAGCAAGGCAAATAAATGCACACAAGCCTCCTTGTTTCCTTACAGCTAGCTTGCTCAGCTCTTAGGACCTTGGCCTGGAATGCTGCTACCCACACTAGGCAAAGATTTTCTCTATCAATCAACAATCAAGATGATCCCCCCCACAGACATGCCCACAGGTCAATCTGCTATAGATAACCAGCTCCTCACACAGTTAACATGAAAGGAAAGTCCAGGTGGGCCCTGGGAAATCTCTAGAACATTTTTCCTATGAATACCCTTTGCCTCTCTGACTCTGGACTTTCGTCAGTTGAGCTTTTTATCTTAAGATGGGATCTTGCTACAAAGCCTAGGCTGGCTTTAAACTCAGGATCCTTCTTCCCCAGCCTCCTGATGACTTTGAACTCAAAGTTTGTCTCCCTGTCGGGCCCCTCTGCGTGTGCATGTGTGTGTATGTGTGTGTGTGTGTGTGTGTGTGTGTGTGTGTGTGTGTGTGTGTGTG